GGGGGGGGGGAGAGAGAGAGAGAGGGAGAGAGGGAGAGAGAGGAAGAGAGAGATTGTACCAAGCACCATATTGCAATCTTTGAAGCCAAAAAAGGCTGCAGGGCAGAAATTTGTATTTCTGACAACTACCAAAGAGAACAAGGCAACCTCAGCACTTTATTTTTTAGTTTGAAACACAAGCGTGGCACTTTTGAACTGGGGGAAATGAAAAGTGAAGCATGCTGTTACACGGAGGGAGAGCACTAGGGAAGTTCATTTGGTATCAAGATTACTTAAAGACTGCGCAACATTTTGCTTTAGTAATAAGATAACGAAGTTGCTTGTTGCCATGCCTATGGTGTGCTGAGAAGGGGAACCAAACACCTGCTGCACATAAGGCATGATGAAAGCATGTGATCAAGAGGATGCCTGCGGAAGGAGGACGGTAACAGCATGTAATTTTCGTGGAAGGAGGCTGAGAAATTATGCAGGTTCCCCTTTTTCTCTAAGGATCCTCCAGCAGTCCAGCCATGAAGACTAACTCTTATCCTTCAACAAACACTGACTCTTCCTCTCTTACCGAGTGGGAAATGACACTGGGAGAAGTCTGCACTGTATAAAAAAGGGAAAGGCAGGAAAAGGGAAGGTCAGCACGATAGCGCAAGGAACACAGAGAACGCCAAAGCCAAGGGCATCTTTATATGGAAGAACAGAGGAGAAAGAAGGCGCAGTACTGTGAGCAATTTTTGTTTGTGCAAAAAGAGCATTTCGTCACTCAGGGCCCTAAAGTTTGCTGACCTAATGAAAATAATGAGATTGTTCTTGGGTTTTGACCGAACTGTTGTTTTCTCTGACCAAACTCAATGGGATGACATTAAACCATGTTTCATGAGTGTCTAGACCAGGCCAGCCACGTGAAGCTAGTATGTCTCCCAGGACAGCTAACAACTTGCCTGAAGCTCTCTGAGGAGAAAAGGACGAGTGAGAACGTGAGCCAGTCCCTTCCTCTGCTAAAAAGTGACTGCTTATGTGGCTCTGCTCACAGTGAGCAGTTATTCGAATGGTGATCTGATCAACTTTTATTGGTAAACTGCTTGTTTCTTAGACGTTTACACACATATACACACAAGCACATGCACACGTGGGAGACATAAGAAATCAGATTCATTTCAGAATGCCTTTTATGTCAGCAAACTTTTCCCTAGCTAAGGAGGTCACAGGGAGCAGCAGTGCCAGGAAGAAAAAAGTTCTCAGGTAGCTTCTCTCCCTTCTCCATCTAGAACGAGGAATATTGCTGCCCCAACTATACAGCAATTCTATTCCTAGAGACGTGTATTTTCAGAGTATTTCATCAGAAGATTGAAAATACCATGTTAAAAAAAAAAAACACTCAATTTACAAATTTGTTCTTAAGCCTGTTACGTAAACCTGAAATTTTCAAAAACCTTTAAAATCAAGACATTGCAAACATCCCTGTTCCTAACTGCAGCAGCAGCTCTTCCAGAGCATGTACATTCTCCCAGGCAGGACTGTCAAGCCCCCTTACCTGTCATGTTTATTTTCTTGGGCTGCTCTTAAGAGTTCCTGGATGTTTTTGGTGATCTGCTCAGTTTTCCGGATGACGTCTTCGGTGCTGGGGAGAATTGGGCTTGGGGCCGTGGGGGGTTCTGCCATATCTGGTACTGAGCCATCACCTTGCCACACCATACTCCTCTGCCTTCCCTTCCTGCTTGACCTGTGAACATTAAAGAGGCTAAATGCAGCAGGTGCTTATCCCCTTCTTCTCCGCTTCTTGAAGCCACTGCATGTGCACTTGCTGAACACAAGAGCAGGCTGCTTCTGTGGTTTCCTTCATCCTGTCTGGCAGGAGACCCACGGTAAGGCTGTTTCATCAACAAGCAGCCGCAGCTCACATTGGAGGCTATTTCATTTACCACGGGGCTGGAATAACTGGAATGGGGAGGATGTGTTGTTATAAAGCCATCCCTAATTGAGCCAGTCCCATGGGGTAAAAATGCAGAACACGCCCAATAGCGACTTAAAGTGAAGTACTGATTTGAAGCACATTACAGAGACTCAGAGACAAATAATGTGCTGGTAAAAGAGAAAAAAAGGCCCCTATGGCAATGAGATGAGATGTTGAACTATGAACTTATAACACAATATTTTAAGAATTTATGGGGCTGAAAACAGAGAAAAGGGGTGCAGATGGTGAACTACAGCCTGCTAGATCTCTGATTTAAGAGCCCAACCCCCAGTACATCCTTCCTGCAGCTGTACCCCAGATCATCTGGGTCCGTGTCGTTGGGAGTGTTGTCATAGTCACTTTCAGGTGTGCTGTTCTGCTTCTCCAGTCTGGACGCCTACAAGAGAGGAAAGGTGACCCCCATTGGTTTAGAGCACAAGACACTTCTTGGGAGCCTTCCCCAGGAATCATTACCTGTTAGGCTACATGGCCTTCATGGCCCAGATCTCATTTGGGACAGGAGCCAATCCTTTATTGAAAATTTAGTAAAAGATGAATAGTGGATCCAGAAATGCTTTCTTTCCTCTTTTGCACCATTTCTTCTTAGCTCAGTGGCTACTCCATAAACAGATCCTTAGTACGAACTAACACAGACATACAAGGCAACACACCCACAAACACCCATAGACCTTCAGCACTGGAAACTGCCTGCAGATGACCTAATCTAACACCAGATGAGAAAATGAAGGGCCCATGAGAAAATTATACACCCAAGGCCACAGAGTCGGTAGAAAAACAGGCCGAGAATCCAGGTCTCCTGCTACTTCCAATATTCCATGCCTGGGGTTCTGAAGATCACCACTGCTCAAAACACATATGGCTCTCCAAGAACTACCTCAGAGATGGTTTGTATGAGCCACACCAAAAAACCAGTATTGTTAATTTATTGCCACATGTTGTTTGTGAACCAAAATGGATTAACCCAGTGTGACACTTGGTTTCCAACTCTTTATCTGTTTCCCAAAACACCTAACCCTTAAAATATAAAGATTTGAGGCAACTGTGGAGATTCAAAAATGGGACACAGATTAAAAGAGGAATGCCAAAAATGTGTTGAACAAATGGCAGCACTGCTAAGCATAGGGTCTTCCAGGGTGACAAAACTTGAAGGGGACCATATTCCCTTGAAGGGAACTATGTTAGTTCTGGAGTGTCTAATAAAAATGGGTTTCCCTCAGTATATATATATTTTTTTAATTTACTGATTTTTTTTTTTGAGAGAGAAAGAAACATCAATTTGTTGTTCCAATGATTCATGCATTCATTGGTTGATTCTTGTACATACCCTGACCAAGGATCGAACCTGCAACCTTGGCATATGGGGACAATGCTCCAACCAACTGAGCTACCAGGCCAGGGCCACGCAATTTTTATTTCAAATGACCTGCACAATTCAAAGGACCCACACAGTTCAAACCCACATTGTTCAAGGGTTAACCAGTGGTTGGACGTCTGCATGTGCAAAGGGCCAACTTAAGTTATAAGCGGATTTTTGAATGCAGGGCTGGTTGGTGCCCCTAACCCCCATGTTGTTCAAGGGTCAACTGAAAATTAAGAGCCTTGTTTAAATATCTGGAGACACTATAGTTTCATACAAGAGTGGCTACTTTAGAGTAAGTCAGTTTAGCCCTAGCCAGTTTGGGTCAGTGGCTACAGCATTGGCCTGCAGACCGAAGGGTCCTGGGTTTGATTCTCGCCAAGGGCACGTACCTCGGTTGCAGGCTTGATCCCCAGCCCGGGTGGAGGCTCGAGTGGGAGGCAACCAATGGATGTGTCTCTCTCACATCAATGTTTCTCTCTCTCTCCCCCTTCCACTCTCTCTGAAAAGCAATGGAAAAAATATCCTCAGGTGAGGATTAAAAATAAAGTCAGTTTAAGAACAATCTACATAAAATCGAATTATTTGCTCCTTATTGGTATTGCTGCCAGGCCCTCTGAAGGCCCTTATGTGGGCAGGCAAGGCAGCCAGCCCCCAGGTGGGCAGACTCCTTATTCACATCACATTTTGTTACTGTCCTCATGGCCTCTCTTTCTCTGTCTGCTGAGGTATTTCACATTCTCCCCAAATGTTCTACTTGGTCCTAGCTACCTTAATATAAGACACTTGTGCTGGGCTCCTAAAATTCATCCTTTACCCACTCAGATTCATCTGGCATCTGATGATGAAAAGTGTTGGCTTGGAGCTATATGGAAAGTTTAAGTTCTGTAAAACTGACTATAACTTTTAAGATTCCTTTGTTTATGTCTCCTATAAGCAAGCAGTTCATTTCACTTGCTGCCTTATTTTATGAACCAATCAGTAAGTTACTGGCTACTGGAAGTCTAGATGGAAAACCAAAGGCAGGCACTGTCCAGTGCAGGGAACAGCAAAACCAGGCTCTTTGAGAGATGAACTCAGAAACAAAAACCCATCTTACCTTTCACAGGGAATATTTGACCAATCTTTAAATTTTTCCTTCAGTTTTTATACACACACACATACATATATGTACATTTAATGTAAAAAACTTGCATTTAATAATTATTCTGGAAAATTCACCCAGAGCTGCTCCAGTGGAAAAATCTAGAAAATAGAATTAAGCCCAGAAAATCCCACATTTTTACAATAGATCTTTTTGCCTTCCTTGACATAGATTTGATAAATACAAATCAAATGCACTAGTCCCACAATGATCAAAAATACTAAGGTTCATTTAAACATTTTAGAAGAGTAATAACTCGTATCTCTAATAAAAATACTCAGGAAATGTTTCTCCAGTACTGAAAACAATGGATAGCAGTAACCATCCAGGAAATCAGTTACTTACGAATTAAGTCCTTCATCATTGTTGACAAAAACATATGTACAGGATTTCAAGTTAGCCAGGATTTAATTTTGTGAAAATTACTGTAAACATGCAGAGGTAAGATCCATTAGTTAAAAGTGCTGCTCTCTCAAAGCTGTTAATAGAAAAGTTACTGTATAGCTGGTGCTGGTTCAGTTTAATAGATTTGTAACTTTTTTTAATACAGACATGCCATAAAAACCTAAATTCATGATAAAGCTTGAGTTTATCATGCTTTAGGATTATCAGTTTAAATGACTTAATTGTTAATCTTGTATAAAACTCCATTTCAGCAAGCAGTCCTTGCAATGATTCTCAAAACTACCAAAAAAAAGTTTTATTTTGTGTGGTGTTTTTTTTTATTTCGCAGTGGACAAAAGTTTACTTGACTTGTAATAAAATTTCAAATGAGATATTTCATTTCTATTAACTGCCCCCTAGTTTAACTGAAATATTGTAATAAAAAATCCTGCAGTTCCATTTTAGAACTGCTCAGACGACTTGAGGTATCATACATATATCTAGAATTATTTTTAATAGACTGCTTCAAAACTGCAGAGAAGAACCCCAAAGGGCCTCGGGGTGCTGTAAGGCACTGGCAGTGGAAAAGAACAACTCATCGTTTCTACTTATGTGCAGGGAATGGACAAAGGCCAAGTGCAAATCCCACCGTGTCTACAAAGATAGTCCCACACCCACAGCCTGAGGTCTTCAAGGCTTATGCTCTTTTTACGTATGTCCCAGCTTGCCATCAAGTCCTCTTCAGGCATGCAAGTATTTATTAAACTGACAGGGCCTTTGGGAGCAGAGATGTCACCTAAGTCCCTAGGACCTTTTCACTGACTTACCAAAAGCCTGGGTATGGAGAAGGTGCTTAATTAAATACTTGTTGCCTTGGCTATTTTAAAAGGAGTTTACCTGAATCATGTACTGTTACTGGGAACCCAAATTATACATCAGAAAGTTGGACTTGACCAACTAATAAGGTGAACAGCTTCATACTAACAGCCACCAACCCTTCCAATACTGCTATGTGTTGCAATGCTTACATGAGTCGCAGGGACCGCAAGACCTTGGTTTGTCAAGTATGGTGTTGACAAAGTATGTTAAAAGGTTAAAAAAAATAAAAAAGCATGAAGTTCTAGTGTTTCAGTCAGCCCAAATATACTAGTTTTAATCTGATAACTAAAGAAATTTGATAGATGTGCCCTACTACAATATTTAACCAGCAGCCAGCTAATTTTCTGATTGTTTAAAACAAGAGTGTGCTCAGAATAAATGTTATAGGGTGAACTGCAGACTTTGTTAAATAGTACATGAAACAAGAGTAACGTGGGTTAGACAAAAGGGAGGCCACATCCTATAGACGTGTGTGCATGTGTGTCCGTGCATGCTGCTGGGCTTGTGACACACCCAGAGAGAAAGCGCTGCCTCATGCAGGAAAGAAGGGCAGTTAACAGAGGGACAGGAGGGCCAGAAACACAAAGCGCCCAGGAGCACTGGCCCTCCTCCACAGAGCAGACCATTCAGAGTGTACTTAACCCTTCGGGTGCTTTCGTCCCTGGACCAGGAAAGTGTGGAGGGGAAGGAAGGCAGAGATGAAGAGGAGGTCACAAGTGCACTCCTCCCGATCTGAAAGGGGAAAAAAGAAACGCTCGGGAAAATACAAACAACAAAAACCCTACCTACCACCTACCCTGGCTTCAGCCCCGGTTTCCCAGTAAGAGTCCTAAAGAGCTACTCACCGCGTAAGATCAGTGCTAAAATTTCTGACAGGGGGCTGACTGCCATGCTAGCTGATGACAGATGCTCAGACATGTTTATGTTAAATCCCTTAATGAAATGGCTTCCAGAAATTACTCAGAATTTATAAGACTATTTTTCTATAAGGAAAAATACCTAACATAATTTATCAAATTTGCTGATAGTTTTTAAAAAAATAGCCTTAAACAAGTATTTGTTTTTTAATCGAGATAATATGAAATGAGAAACTACATGAATGATTAAAAGTTGGTATATGTTATCAATCTACTTTTTAGTAGACATAAAACTTTTTCAATAATAGGACATTCTTACATTCTAAATGTTTCTAAAATTTAAAAATACACTATGAAAACTAATAAAGGTTGCTTTTCCTACATTTTGGCTTCAGTTATAAAAAAAATAAGGTTCTTAAAACTTAGTTCAATGACATTCCCATTACACCAAATGTATCAAATCAACTGCTTTAGGATGTTTAACCCAAACAACTTAAAAAGTTGAAGTAATGGACTCCCAATTACAATATAACAACACTAATTTTACCACACTAAAACTGGACAAAATTAAACTAGGGTTTAATTTACCAGACCATACACATCTTTTACTTTTAATTTACTCTGAGAATTTTTTGGAAATTCTTACAAAATTTGACTGAAAAATAACTGTGACATTAAAAAACATAAATACTACTCTCAGAAAAACATCACAAAAGTTCAAAACATCTGTAACATTTTGTCAAAACAGATTTTAAAAATAAATCAATCTGAAAGAAATAGATTACTTGAAACCCTCAAAACACAATACTTATCCCACTGTAAAAGATGTTAGCAGCCTGTTACAGAACACAATATTTGGAATACAACACTTGTAAAATCGAAGTACAGTTTTCACACCTCATTCTTATGAAATGACAAAGTACTGCTTTCTCCACAATGGGGAGAAGGGGATGCAGAAGCTAAGCAGGCACGCTGACCACAAGTGCAGAAGCTGTGGAGGCCCAGAAGCTTCTAGACCTACCCTGTGTGTCCAGACCACAGATGCCACCTGCTCCACCTGCTCCCTTGAATTCTAAGGGCTCCAGTTCATAAAGGGGCATGTACCTGTCTGGCCTGCCTCAAAGATGGAGGCACTTACTTCTAGTGGAGACCTTAACTATTTGTTTTTTGTTTTTAGAAGTGGGGAAGAAAGTTTGTTATATTAAAAAAATAAATTCCAATAGGGAGAAAAGGGAGGGGAGCTGAGCAAGAGCCAGAATCCCCAGCCTTATTGGAAAACTTTTGGCCAATGGCGTTGTGTGCTTGCAGTGTTACCACAAGCATCCGTCAACATGTTAATACAGCGAACACAACAACTCTCATAGCCCAGTTTGGCAAAGCAGAGACGTGGGCATCGGCAGGTTCAGAAGAGGGAATGCAGGAGTCAGACTGGACAGAGAATGAACAGTGGCGCGCCAGTGGTGTTACTTACGTGTGCGGGAAATGGCTGGAGTCTCGTCCTGCTCTCTTCAGGGCGGTTCACTTCTCCCATTGGGAGATATGGTTTCTGACCTGATCCCGTCTCGTACATGGACATGGGCCTACTGCCCCGGGCAGATGGACGTCGCTTTAAGGAAGAGTGGCTGGAAGTGTCTGTATACTCAGAACCAGTTTGCACCTGATATATATTGGTTGTGGCCTGTTTCCTGAGGTTCGAATTTTCACTCTGGAGTGTTTGAAGCTGAAAGAAATGTTTGGTAGTGGGACTGTGTTTTTCTATAGCAAGCAGAAAAAAGCAAACACCAAATAAATGAATACAACTACTAGCTTTAAACACTAAAAACAGTAACAGCTAGCTGGGTTGAAAGTAAAAGGCAATTATAAACGAGAACTTTATCTTCTAGAATGAATGAAATGCAATTAATTTGCTTCATCCCTGAAGCATATTAAATAGCTTAATTTCTGAATGTGGAAAAGTTGCAGTTTGGACTTTTTAAAAACAAAATGTCTAACAACTTAAAATTTGGCCATGGTGGACCTGACAAATGTTTGCAGGCAAGCTGAACTCTGGATTATCCTAAGGCTGTTTGTAGCAAGAGCTTGAGATCATTAAGACATCGCTTAGGTAACTCGCTTTTCAAATGAGCCCTGAGCAATTTGCAAATGCCAAAAATGCCAGCGGACACCATAGAAGCAGCACAAAAGTTACTGGAGTTGCTGTGCAAAGCAAGAAAGACGGTGAAATTCAGCTTATGAAAAATAAGATCAGTTACTGCTTCCCAAAAAGCCAACAAGAAAAATCATGATCAACAAGTTTTTATTACATAATACTCTTGATGTTCCAAACAATTTAGCACATTTTAAAAAATAGAAGGAACCAAATCATAGTACGTTTGCTATATTAACATATCACGAAGAAAACTGAAGACCTATTGACCTGTTAACATCTTCATCTGAATGCTCCACGCAGCACACTCGCTTCCCTTTGGTGATTGATCAGCTTTCAGCCAGGGCCGGAATATGTGGCCTCTCTCCCCTTTGGCTTTGTCACTCAAAATCACGACCACGGTGGTGTCAGCTTTAAACACTCTAATCTGCCTGGCACCACCCTATTTTAGTTAGAGGCTGTCACTTGGAGACCCTGAATGCTCTTTCCATTCCTCACATGCAGGCTGCTTCATGGTGTTTGATGAGTTAGTTAAGGGATCAGCAAGGAATCATGTTACTCTTTGGCGTCTGGCATTTTAAACACAATTAACTGAGTCCAGTCTGCACAGTGTCCTTTCCCTCTGGTGCTCCTTCATCTTCCATGACATTTTACAAGCTGGGTGTGGTGTGAGTTCAGCTGTCTACTCTTTGACAGAGATTGTAAAATCTGACCACCAGGGCCAAGGCTTAGGTCCACAAGCAACTGTATCTGCACCAGAAGATCATTACTTTTTCAATAGCAAACCCATTCAGTGTTAGGAGTTACTTTCAATTTTTATTTATAAAGCACCGATCTGTGAAAAATACACCAATAGTGGCTGCTCCTCTTCATTAATTAGCATCTTTTCCAAGCAACTGTTAAAATGTGAAAGATCAGATACAAATCAAGCTACTTTGTCAACTATATATATAAAAACTTTACCTAACTGTAAAATAAAATCAATACATCTTTGCTAAACAAACATATTCCACGTACTTTATATTAATAGTGCCAAACTTCTGTGAAAGCCTGGCTTACTGCCTCTGCCAAAGAAATACCCTCATTCTCAGTTTTCTCGAACAGTAATCCACTAAAGAATGATAGATTGCTTCTCCACCACAAAGGCTTTCAGGGTATAACTTAAGAGCTGCAACTCCCTTTCCAAAGAAGGAACAGCTGCAAAGTGACAAGCAGCCACGGAAAATTCCTACATTCCAGGATACAGATAGGCGTAAGGTGCCTGTCAAAACTATGTATTAGGGAATCCATATCCTCAAGTGAAACGGTCAAGGTCCAAAGAGTGAGGAGCATAACTGACACATGCCTGTCAATGAAGGGCTGGGGTGTCTGGTCACGTGCCTGTCTATGTAAATACCTTCTCTTAGAGATTTTTAGACAAGGCCTTGAAATCTGAAGCTTTACCTTAACACTTTCATGTCTCTGAAACACCCAGTCTGGATCTTGCTTGCATGTGTTTAAATGAGCACAAGTTCCTGGTCTCAATTTTTAAGAATTTTTAGTATTCTGTATTTAGAGAGATGTCCTCGGATAAATTTGAATGATGCATATCTTAGTAAGAACTAGACCACACTTTTTTTGTTTGTAAGGAGTATAACAGGAAATGATAAGTTACAGATAATTCAATACTTTCAGAAATCAAAAGCTTTTCTAAGAATTGAGGGAATAATTCATGAGCAATGGCAAATAATTTCACTCTACACTTCTTAAAGAAGCTCAAGACATTTGTTTTCAGAGATAGGTTATCTCTAGAGATTTCTACAAGTACTAAAAGGAGCATTAGAGAATAAAAAAGCTGATGCTTAGTGAGTTGATTTACAGTGGCAAAGTCAGCATGTTTCAGAAAAAGGCACCTCAACAAAATTATTAGTTCAATTAATGGGTCGAGCTATAATTCAGTAAACAAAAGGTATTTCAGAAAAGACAGAGGAAGTGCAAGCCCTGTGTGTTATGGCTCTTGGTCTGTCTTGTTCACAGTTGCACACCAGTCCTAGACAGGGCCAGCAAGGCACAGAACAAGTGTTAGGTTAAAATATGATTGATCTTCAGGCATTCTTGTCCCCTTCTATTATAGGCAGTAGAGCCATCTACCTCAAAAGGTCTCAACAAATGATCTAGAACTCAATACCAAATGATCTAGAACTCAATACCAGGCCAGGGTGCACTGCAGTGTACTTCTCTGACAAGCAGAGGGCCATAGGCCCCTTGTTAGTTCTTGTTTCCTTTAGGCCCAGCCACAAATGAAATGCACCATGTCCTCTGTTCTTGATAATGATTCTGAAGCATGACTCTTCAAATGACTTTGTTTGGTTTCTGTTTAAAGGAAGTGTACAAAATCTCATATTGTAGAGAACTGAAAGATGGGATCAGTTACGCACAAAGTCTTGGGCAGAATTTAGACTTTTTCAACTTCCTTTTCTTAGAATTCTCACAAAGAATTACACATATAATCACCATCTGAAGCATATTTCTTGCTATTATTAGCCATACTTCTTTTAGGGATTAATATATTCATGTATCTCTGACTCTCTTAAAAAGCAGTGAACGAGAAAATACTGAGCAAATGGGATTGTTTCTTACTAGTGTACAGCTCTCACTAGTGCAAAGAAAATGTTTTCTTATATTCATTGAGAACCTGCTCTATGGCAGGCCCTGCTCTAGGCTCTGAGGACATCATAAATTAGTGGTTAAGTACTGGTGGAAAATAAAGCAGGGATGTGGGACAGGGCTGCCAGGGCAGGGGTGAATAACAACTTAGAATAAGAGTGAACAGGGACAGCACCCCTTGCATGGCATAGGGTGGGGTATCGTGTGGAATGCTGATAAACACAGATACCTGTCCGGGGCTTTCATATGCTCTGTCTTTCTGGTATAATTATTCTTTCAGAAGGAGCAATAGGAAGAATCACATCCATGGAGTGGCATCCAGGATCCCAGGAAGCACAGAATAGTGCAAAGGTTAATACAACTGATATAAGCACTTAGTAGGTTGTGTGTTTCTTCTATTGAGAAGTGTACTCTGGATTTATTTATCAAAGCTACTTCATCTGAAATATCCAAATACACACTGCTTCCAAAAAGACAGCTTGGCCCAGAGATTTTTGAGGTCTGTTACAATAACTGCTTTTCTTCCTTCTGACCACAAGCATTGTGCCTGGGATTCTTCCTTATATATGGAGTTAAAGCGTCAATCATCCTGGCATTTATTAACATGTTACCTTTTTCTGCATAATTCTCAGCTCGTCACTCAAGTTGTTATTCACCTTCATTAGCTGTTGTATCTTGGCCTCAGAAGCCACTAGAGCGTTTTTGACCTCCATAAATTCCTGCACAGTGACTGGTCCATCTGATAAATCTGAATCTAGGCTCTAAAAATAAATTGGGGAAAATGTTCACAATCTGAGACGATGATAACATTCAAGACTAACAGCTAAAGAATTTCAAATTCTGACCATGCCAGCTGGATTGCAAAGTTAATCACGATAAATCAAGGCTTCTGAGGATAATGCAAAAATAAAACATAAAGGTGGGGTTACTATAATATTTGAAAAAATTTAAGTCAGTATTTTCTAACAGAATAGGCAGTGGGGCTATAACCTGCGCTGACAATGACTAAGCGCATTTGTCCTGTCTTGTCGGCCTCTCCATGGTTATTCACTTGTCTTTTTTACTCAGTCTTTCATTCATTCATTCATTCCAATAGATTTTTACTGAGCATCAGACAGTGTTCTCGGGGCTTGAGATATATACGAAAATAAAATAGATAACAATTCTTATTTCCATGGTGTTTATATCAAATAGAGGAAGGGGAAAAATAAAAATAATTAACTATACAGTATGACAGAAGGTGATAAGCGCAGTGGAAAATAGCTAACGTGAAGGAGGGTAAGGGGCTAGGGAGCCGAAGTAGGGCTGAAGGTAGGAGAATTTTAATTAGACAGACAGGGTAAGCATTCAGGTGGGTGAGATGTGAGCCACAGCCTAAAGGAGGTGAGACATTAGTCACATGGCTGTCTGGAGGAAGAACGTTCCAGCCAGTGGCAGAGCTGAGCTAGAGTGAGTGGGTGTGCAGGGAAGGGAGGAGTGGGAGGCCCATCAGCGCATAGAGGACCCTTTCATGACTTTCGCTTTCACTGAGTGAACCCAGTGCTACTGGGGAAACCTGGCAGGGGTGTTTCAGACAAGTGACTCTTGCCATCCTCTCTGCATTCTCTGCATCTGCCAGCCAATAGCACTACAGTCATGTGAGCTAGAAATCCTCAACACATCTTCTGTAAGTCTATCTCCTCCCCTTCAAACATCCAACTTATTGCGAGGGCCTGTCTATTCTATCTTCCTGTTCATCCAATCTCAAATGTTTGCTGAGCCCCTCTGTGGGCCAGGTCTAGGCAAACGTCCTGGGGATTCAGCAGAGGGTGGACCAGCCAGACCCCTGCTGCCCTCTCCCTGGCTCACACTGTGCTACAGTGATCTCTCTCCCATCTGGACCTCCCAGCCCAAGCCCTGAAGTGGCCTGGCCAGCTCTTTAGGAATATCCTAATTGGGTTCCTTTCCTCTACTCTCTGACCCTCCAGAACACTCCTCCCAAAACAGAGGTCCCAAAGTGGCTGATCATGTTCCTCCCATGGTGTAACCTCTGCCCTCTGCTGCAGCTTTGGGTCACACTCTGTTTAGGCTATCTCTATACATCACCAGTTTCCCCTGCAAGACACCCTCTTATTTCATTCTCTCTGCCTAGACAACTCTTCCCTGCCTCTCTACATGCCCAAACCTATACGTGTTTTAAGACATGTTAAGAGCCATTCCACTTACAAAGACTCACGATACTCCTCAGTAACAAGTCGTCTCCTCTCAACCCCCACCCTCTTCTGTTTGAGCTTCTTATAATACATATCATCGAGTACCTTTTATTACAGCTATTTCTTTTCTCAGGCAGTGACAGCCTCACAGAAAAGGGACTAGACCTCATTCAGGGGCATATCATTCAGAGAAGTCACTCAGTAAACATTTGTTAAAAGAATAAAACACGCCAGTCCCTCCTCACAAAATTTTATAAAGTCACAACTGCAGTAGGGCTATGTGATTCAGCAATTCATTCAGGGACAAAGGACCCCCTCTTTTAAAACTATTTACCTTCCTTGACCTTTGCTTGGCCCAAGCTCATCAGTAAACCCAACTTTACCTTCATAGCACTTTCACAGGGCTAGCCCTCAAGTGACTTACAAGTAAGGCAGTTTTGCAGGAGGAAAGATTTAAAAAACAACAACACAGTCTCCCTTTCTGTGTGTCACCTCACCTTCTGCCTGTTTGCCTTGCTTGCAGTGGTTTCCAGATCTGTGTCTTCATCTGATGCCACACTGTCATAGTCCGGCTGGTCATTGTCTTGACTTTCAATACTGTGCTGGTTATTGATTGTTTTCAGTATGAGCTCCACACTGTCTATCAATAGAAGCAAATAACTTTACTTCAGGATTTTTAAAAACGCTTTTTAAAAATTTTTATTGATTTTTAGAGAGAGAAAGGGGGAGAGAGAGAAAAACATTGATTTGTTGTGCCACTTACTAATTCTTGTATGTGCCCTGACTGGGGAACAAACCCACAACCTTGCAGTGCTGGGACGACCTTCTAACTAACTGAGCTACTTGGCCAGGGCCTTAAAAAAAAGCTTTTCCCCCCAAAAAAAACTATTGGGAAGGTTTTTGGGTTTAGTCATTTAAAAGACTGAAAGAAAATGACAGAAAAAGCAATGTTATAGCCACAGCAATATAGGGATAACAGAGCAAGTTATCAACCAGACAGATAGCCTACTATAAACTGCATAGAGAGATTTAAGCATCTCTCTGAGCTACTCTCCAAATGTGGGCAAATTAATCAGACGGTTTAGGAACACACTTTTTAACAAGATTTAAATCAGACGTCTGGGTTAATTTCAGGATGTAACTTTATAGAAATAAAGATAGGTGACCCAAGAGGAAAAAATTACATATATATCTAAATAGTAATTAATAACGCTGAGTATTTATAATTCACCAAGGCTCAAAGAGGTAAACTTTCTGTCACAACATGGAACCAATAAAAATTATAAGGCTTTAACTAAGCTATTCTGTGGATGACTGCTCTAATTACCTTGTAACTGTAAATCTAACACTTGTGTGAAATTTATAAGGCCAAAGAAGCAAACATTTGTTTTGAAACAGTTACCTTTTGAACTAGAGAGAGGACTGCCTTGCTGTCTCCTCTTGGCATCACTGAGAATGTCAATAACCAGAGTGGCAAACTCATGGGCATTAAACCGAGCTAATTTCTGTCTGCCCTGAGGGTGAAAAAATAATTGGAAATACTCCCAAATGTCACAATACACACATAAATATTCACGTAAAAGTAGTCAGACTATTGGTAGACTCTGGCAAAGACCTTCCAGCATGATCAAGGTATCATCAATCACAGCCATAATTGAACTAAACAGTAACATTTTCCTTGCAATCAGTTTAAAATCATTTACTTAAGAGAGCTATGTAACATTTAAGCTCTCACAATGCATATTTATTTTGGGGAACAAAAACAAAATGGTTCTACTTAAAGCTTTATTTTCCTAATATTAAGTCAGTTCTGAAATAGACCTAGTAATGAAAAATTAATTTGGAGGGAAATTTTAAAATTTCAAGATAAATTATAGTCTAGATGCTGGGACTCCACATAGCCATTAATCAAGAGAAATTAAAAGGCCTCCCTAATTTAATCAATTTTTCTCCTCCTGATAGGTGCTTAGGCTGTTTTTAATGCTCTATTATTACACAGTGTTTTGAATGAAAATCATTGCGCATGAATCTCTGTATTTTTATTTTATTAGAACATACTCCCAAATGAGGAATTCCCATGTGAAAGGATGGGCACTTAATTTTGAGGCTTCTGAAACAGGTTAGCAAATTGCTTTTCTAAAGTCTGGAACAATTTAAACTCTTATCTGCAGCATGAGGAAGCCCACCTAGTCAGATCCTTACCACTTTGGAGTACCGCTTATTATACACTTTATTAATTTGATTGATGAAACTTTCATTAATGCCTTTAGGTTGCTTTCTTTGATTACAGATGAGTTTAAAGATTTCTGCACATTTAAAGGCCATTTATATTTCTTCTGTGGATTCTTTTATGTTCTTGCCCAGGCATCTATTCATATCTATCACTTTTCTTATCAATTTGTGAATTTTGTGTATGTGTATAAAGGCTATCAACACTTGAATCAATCAAAAAATTTAAAATACCTGTCCTGGAAAAATAAAATACCAAGATATCAGCTATTCTCAAAATATCGCTACTGGTTACTTTTCATACTTGGCCACTTGCCTGGTTCCGTGTTGATGAGTACTCGGGATTGACAGGAAGGAAGGGGACGACGGTTGTCTCAGTCACCAGGGTGCTGTGGTTTTGCGTGGCAAGCCAGACTAGCCAGAGGAAAGAGCCAGAGATAGAATCTCATCACCATGGGTGTGCCACTGCCCCTCTGAGAGCCGCGGCCCCCGCCTTACTAGGGAGACTCAAGGAAGCACACTCTGAAGCCAACATACACAAAAGCAAATGTCCATACACGTGTTATCAGGACAGGAGAAATTGGGCAAGTAAAACACTGAGGCTGGCAGCTTGTCACTACCCACTGATAACAAGCGTATTAGATAAAGCCACATGTTAAGTCACCTGCATCAGTCTCTCGCCTGTCAACTTCATCGTACACATCCATGGCAAGTTCTTCAAACAAATGATTACTTAGCTGAAAGTAAAAAAATATCAGGAACACAAGGGACAAGGATTAACACTAGCAGAATGAGAGGGGACTGTGATTTATTCACCCTTTTATCTCCAACGTTTTATCCAAAACCAGTGCTTAGTAAATGCCCACTGTAACACAGACAATAACATTTCCAAAATAGTAGAGATCCTCTAGAAACATCTGCTTCCCATAGCAGTCTCATTCCTCTATGGTACGCAGATAGGGCCATGCTATAAAGGAGGTAAGAGGCATCTGAAGTGCCGATCTCACACACAGGTTCCAGTTCTCTACTCTTCCTGTGATAGCACCCTTTAAGTCTCCTCTTTTGCTCTTGAGAATGTTTGCCAGTGCCCCCGAATATAAGGGGTTATAGACCCTTGGCAGGATAAAGATTCCAAAACATGTCACTTTGAGAGGACAGAACATGCAATTGCACAAAATATCACCAGACCTCGGTTAAGCCTCTTCGCTATCTTCCTCAGCAGTGGTGCCAATCCCCAGAAGAACTGAGCATCCCCAACAAAGGATAGGCTGTCTGATCAGTACTCTGCATAGGGTCAGCCAACAAAATACTCCCCATACAAATTAGGTGCCTGCCTGGCAGCAACCAGGATGGTCAGGGTCTTCCTCAACCCAGATGAGGCTAAGCCCCTGCCAGGGTGTCTCAGCTCTCAGTGCCTTTTTCCTCATAAATGCACCTTGACACATGGTGCTTCCCATTCTGTGAGGGTGGACTGAATCTGTCCTATTCTCTACTGTGTTCACCACACCCACACACAGTACCTGGCACTGAGATGGCGCTCAGTACATATCCAATTGCACAATGACCACAAGATATTTTATGCAGCAATTTTAAATGCTGGCTATACACAGACCTCATGGGAACTCGTTAAAATGGGTACAATACATTGTTGGGTGAAAAAAGCAGGAAATAAATTCTATAATCATGATTGAGTTTCAGTTTAAAAAAAAGATATGTATCTGAAACAAGAATTAGAATATACCAAAATACTGAGCCCGAATCCACTGAGTATAGTGACAAGGATGATTCCCCTTCTCTATTTTCCAAATGTGCTCTAGTGTGATTATATTATATTTATAACAAAATAAACTCGGACAGTCTTGCTGGATAAGGTGATAAAGGATTAAAAACTTGAACTTGCATCATAAATGTCTAGTCGCTTTCCTCTTAGGAGCTATAAGCTAATGTTATTATTATTAACAATAACTATGACAGCAATACTGATTGAGGACTTACATCCAAGGCACTGTGCTAATATCACCATATTTAATATTCACAACACCTCTATGTAATAGGAACTACTATAATTCCACTTTACAGATAAGGAAATTAAGGCACAGAAGTTAGTAACTAACCTAGTTACAATGCCAATAAATGATAATAGATCTGAGATCCAAGTTTAAGTTTCTCACAATGTTAACATTTGCTAATTCAAGAAATACATTAGGCTTATTATATTTCTCTTAGCTTTTCGGGATGGAGGGAAGGAGGAAGGAAGGAAAGGAGGAGGTAGGTAGAGAAGGAGGAAGCAAAGGAGATACCATAGGATAAACACTGAAATGGCACTTATAATATGCTGTGAGAATATTCTCCCTCTCACCTGTGAGGAGACCACAGCGTAGGGTCAACAATAGCTGCTCACCCTCACTGGGCAGTTCTGAGCTGCAACCCCTACTACATCATTATCTCCCTTTCTAGGAGAGGACACAAAGGCATAAAGAGGCTAAGGAGCTTGTCAGAGCTGAGATCTGTACCTGGTTAGTCTGGAGCCCAAGTTCTTGAGAGCTATAATCAACTTGGTTCCAGATATTTACCTAGTGCCTGTCGCAAGCTAGAAATATTACAGATATAACCCCAGCTTTCATGAAGTTTTCAGCCTAGCAAATGTAAGACAGTCAAAAGGAAATTGGGTTTTATATATAATGCTGTAATTACTTAAAATAAAAACTGGCTTACATAGTACGTAATTAAAAGGAAATCACAGAATATTTAGTGCTATCTGACTCCAAAACTTACTATCTTAACTATATGACCTCCTTAATTTAAGAAAGGCAATAAAACACAGACACACAAAACCATAAATATAGAACACAGAGACACCAAACAAATTGCATAAAATACATTTATTTCATATTACAGTTAAATACTAGTAAGGATAAATTCATTTTATGTAATATTTAGTACTTAATGTTATATCACATTCTAGTAAAGGGTATTCTGATAAAAAGGGAATGAAAAGGAAGTCATAAATTAGAGGAGTTGCAATTTTAGTTGGGCTTTAGAAAAACTACTATCTACATTGTGAAGGTGGTCAGATTTCAGCTGCTTGAATGATGAAAGGAATGGAAGCTGGGAAGGAGAACACTGCAGGAAAGAGAGAAAAAGGGGATTCCTAAAAGAGGACTTGAAGGTGGCAGCTAATGGCTTCAGAGAATGCTAAACCACACCAAATTATTTAAACACGCGTGCACACGTGCACGGGCACACACACACAATGGGAACCAGATGGAAGCAGGGCAGGCATGGAAAGGTTAGGGTTGGATGCCCTTAAAGTTATGAAAGAAGTTGGTTCTCATCCAGAGAGCAATGAGAACAGCTGAGGAGTGTAATTTGGTGGTTAAAACAGCTCAGGAAGCACCTTGGTGAAGCTTCATTTGTGGGGACTAAACAAAGAGAAATCATTCCCAAAGAGGTAGCTTCCTGACTAAGCCTGAGGTGGGAAGGCTGGAAAGAAATATTCAGATTAAAGTGAGGTTTGACCTACAGAACTGGGAAAACTATGAGCACATAACCGGGGCAGGACCACCAGCATTTTAAAGCATACATTTATAAAGCTCTGATGAATGGCATGGGATATGCCAGAGAGTTACAATGGAGGCTGGATTCCAAAGGCAGCAAGTGAATCTATGGTACTCACCTTTCTAGCACATGCTTTCATCAATCTCTAGCATCCTATAAGGCTACAGGAAGTAATCCCAAGAAGTGTGTCCCACTTACTCATTTACATTGGGAAAAACAAGAAACTCTTATAAGGAGAGACAACTTCCTAATGGCAAAGGCACAGTCTTCACATTTAAAATGAGAAAAATGGCACTATTTGAAGCACAGCCAATAAACTGGATATACTGGAACTTACAGTACTTTCTATGTACTCAATGGTCTGCTTCTGATTTAACAACATCTAAGGGTATGAAACAGTTATCTGATGCAATAGGTAATGAGCTGAGAACAGATATTAAAATACAGCTCCCATACTGGAGTTCACTAGGAAATAGAGATACTCACAGATTGAAGTTTCTTCTTAGCAGCTTTTGCCAATTCAGACAAATCCAGGCTGCTAAGAAAATGTACAAAACTAATAAGCAAATAAATAAAATCATTTTTGTGAACTCTGTAGAAGACAAAGAGAGCCAAGGGATCAAGATATTAATTAGAGTTCATGGACATGGTCAGAGCCAAAAATTCTATAGCCCAACAGAGTCAGTGAGGGAACTTTGAACAGAACAACTTGGTGAAAGAACTCCTTCTAGAAATACTATAATCATGGAACATGGTTAAAAGAAAAATAATCACCCACTAACTAAAACACAAAAGTCACCATTTCTGAAGTATAAAAAAAAACATGATAGAAGAAAATACAAAAAGGGCAGAATGTGAAAAACCAGAATGGGAAGATTACATTTGGAATAGCAATTAATCATTTCATAAACTCTTAACAGTATTTGTGCAAAGATAACTGGCTAAATTAAGGGTTCATTCCTGCAACCTTGAACTCATCTGACCTTACAGACCAGAAGTTGGCAGATTACAGTCTACTTTTTGTTTAGCCAATGAGGTAAGAATAGTGTTTACATTTTTAAATATTTGGGAAAAAACAAGGGAAGAACAATATTTCATAATACGTGAAAATTATATATGAAATTCAAATTTCAGTATAAAAAATAAAATTTTATCAGAACAGGCATGCCCTTCATTTACACAGTGTCCATGGATGTTTTCATCTACAACGGTAGAGGTTGAGTAGTTGTGACAGAGGCTGTATGGCCCACAAAGCCCAAAATATTTACTATCTAGCCTTTAACAACAAAAAAACTTGCTGATCCCTGTTATAGACAAATAATATACTCTCTTATAATAAAGAAATATTCTTTGAATATAATCTATAGACACAATATACTGTCACAACTAGCTAAAACTGTGACACTATCACTGACTCTAATTTTCTTGTTAGTAAATTTGTTACTTGTGCTCTTTCAAACTTAAGTTTTATATGGTGGTTTACTTACAGCCGTCTTATTTCCAAATTGTATAGCCATAAAAGAGAAAAATGTATGGGCTTTGTTAAACACAAAATATTATACACTTAAACACTATACAACCAAGGAAATATTTGAGACAGATAAATTGATTGATATTTAAATGACCTTACCTGTCTGCCATTTGAGGTATTATAAAGTGCTGTCCATTTTTGTGATCTGAAACAAAAACCAAGCCAAGTTTTGTTCATATAAATATTGCCAAGATCTGTAAAGGAATACCATCATTGTTTTCTCAATTTCTGTTTTGCAATTAGCATCTTCCCATAATTATGAATTACGTGGGGGAGCAGAAGTTGCCAGACTAGCTACAAGTTCCCAAAGCCCCGGCCAGCAGAAAGGACCATATCCTCCTTTTCTCCTGGCACAAAAGCCTGGACATCGCTAAGCAGGGAGCCGACGCTCACCCTAACCCTTATGCTTTGCGCATCCCCAGGATAACTGATGATCTTCAACCGTGGAAAGAATGTTTAGGGAGCTGAATTAGCTCAGAGCAGGCTTCCATTAGCTCTCCATGTGGCATGGGTGGCACTTCCTTGAGCTTTGGTGGCTCACCTTCAAATTAATCAATTAGTATAAAATAGTCAGGGCTGGGGCAGGTGGTGCTGGCAGATCCAGGCAGGGGCCCAGTTTCTTACAATGCTAGCTGACTCCATTCTAATCCAACTTCTGGAAAAGCACTGATCATATGCTAGTGAACAAAGCCATTATAAGCATTCACATATAGGTTTTTGTGTAAACATAAGTATTTTTGTTGGGTAGATACCTAGGAGTGGGACTGCTGGGTTATAAGTAAATGTACTATTAACTTAGTAAGTAACTGCTAGAGTTTTCCAGAGTAGCTCTATCATTTTGTTCTCTGTCCAGCAATGTATAAGAGTTGAAGTTGTTTCCCATCTTCCTAAGCACTTAAATTGTCAGGTGCTTTTATTTTATTTTAGTAATTCTAATAAGTATCTGGTGGTATCTCACTGTGGTTTTAATTTGCATTTCCTAAATGACTAATGATCCTAAGCTTCTCTCTTCATGTGATTATTTATTTGTCATCTATATATTGTCTCTGTCCAGTTTTTATTGGGTTGTTTTCTTACTGCTGAGTTTTAAGTATTCAGGTATAAATATTCTGGATCCAAGTCCTTCGTTGGATACATGATTTCCAAATACTTTCTCCCAATGTGTGGCTTGTCTTTTCATTATCTTAACTGTAATTTTTGCAGAGCAAAAATTTTAAATTTTGACGAAGACCAATTTATCAATATATTTTTTTATGGCTTATGCTTTCAGTATTACATCCAAGTACTTTACCTAGTCCAAGAACACAAAGATTTTCTCCTGTGTTTTCTTCTAGGTTTTAGTTTTATGTTTATAGTTAAATCTATGATCCATTTTGAAGTCTGTAGCCCTAATTTCTACTCACTCTAGAAAAGCCAAGTAGAGAGCCAGACTTTCTTTAAAATATATATATATTTTTATTGATTTTGAGAGAGAGAAAAAGGGAGAGGGAGAAAAACATTGATTGGCTGCCTCCTGCACAGCCCCTATCAGGGATCGAGCCTGCAATCTTGGCATATCAGGATAACACTCAACCAACTGAGCTACCTGGCCAGGGCCTTATATCATCATATTTAAAGTGGGTGTCCTTAGACAGCACATAGATAAGGCTTGTTTTTTGTTTTAAATCTTCTGACAATATCTGCTTTTAATTAGTATGTTTAGCTCATGAACACTGAATGTCATTATTGATACGTTTGGGTTTAAGTCTATGATTTTATTAGTTTCTGCTTGGGCCTCAGCTTTTTGTTCCCTTCTCTCCCTTTTCTTTTTCTTTTGAGTATTTTGAGTCAAAATATCTTTTGAGCCTGGCTGGTGTTGCTCAGTGGTTGAGTGTCAACCCATGAACCAGGAGGTCATGGTTCGATTCCCATTCAGGGCATATGCCCGGGTTTCCAGCTGAATCCCCAGTAGGGGGTGGTCAGGAGGATTGATGATTCTCTCTCATCACTGATGTTTCTATGTCTTTCTTCCTCTCCCTCCCTCTCTCTGAAATCAATAAAAAAATTTTTTTTTAATCTTTTGGTTGTAATTTTTAATATTCCATTTTAATTTATCTCTAGAGTTTTTGAGTATATATCATTGTATACAGTCTTTTTTTAGTGGTTGTGCTAGGGATTATAATACACATAAATTTTTACAGTCTACTTAGAAATAACATTTTACCATTTTAAGAATGCAATCTTACCTCCATATTTCTCTCCCTTTTTATGTTGTAGATGTCAAGTGTATTACACTGACATATGCTGAAAACTCCGCCAGATAATGTTATAACTTTTACTTTAAACTATCATACATATCTTAAAGAACTTAAAAGGAAAACAAGAGTCTGTTATTTTTATCCAGATACTTATCATTTCCGTGGCTCTTCTTTCATTCTTTAAGTTCCAAGGTTCCTTCTAGTATCATTTCCCTTCTACCCAAAGAACTTGCTTTAGCATTTCTGTTAAAGCAACTAATTCTCTTGTTTTCCTTCATCTTAAAATGCCTTTATTTTGCCTTTGTTCCTGAAGGTTATTTTCACTGACAATGGAGACCTGGGTTGACAATTCTTTTTTTTCTTTTTATTTTTAGCACTGCAAAAACATTGTTCTACTTCCTTTTCTTATCCATGGTTTCTGTTGAGAAATCCAGTCATTCAAATAAACATTCTTCTATGTATCATTTTTTCCCTTGGCTGTTTCAAGATGTTTTTGTTGTCTGTAGTTTTCAGCAGTTTGATTTTGATGTATCTGAGTGAGAATTTCTTTGAGTTCATCCTTTTTGGAAATCTTTGAGCTTCTTGAATTTGTGTGTCTTTTGCCAAATTTAGACTTTTTAGCCAATATTTCTTCAAATATTTTTTCTGTATCACACTCTGATCTCTTTCTGGGAGCTTGATAACACAAATGTGGCCTTTTGCTATTGTCCCATAGGTCCCTGAAGCTCTGTCTAGTTTCATTTTCCTCCCACTTTTTTTCCTCTCTATTGTTCAAAAACTAGATAATTTCTAGTGATCTATTTTCAATTCACTCACTCTTTTGTCATTTCCAATCTGCTAGTAAGCCTATCCAGTGAATTGTATTTTTCAGTTCTAATATTTCTATTTGTTTCATTTCTGTATCTTCTCTTTCTCTGCTGAGACTTTCTACATTTCTATTTGCTTTAAAATGTTCACACTTTTCAGAACATGGTGTTACTGTTTGCTTTAAAATTTTGGTCTGCTAATTCCATCAATTGTTCCATCTGGGGATGGCATCTGTTGACTATCTTTTCTCTTACAAGTCTTTGGGATTTTCCTGGTTCTTCATTTGTCAAGTCATTATGAAGGGTATCCTGGACATTTTAAATATTATGTTGTAAGACTCTGAGTCTTCCTTAAATTCTATGGACAATGTTAATATTTTTGTTTTACTAGGCAACTGACTAGGTTAGGTTCTGCCTCCTGGGCCAAGTGGTGAGAGAATAGAGAGAAAAATAAAAATAATCATAATTCCCCTCATACTCTTGGCCAGAGATTTAGGCACTGGTGCTGCCATGACTGTTGCCACTACTGTAGCCATAGGATTGCCTTGGGGCTAGGGTAGAAGGAAAAGGAAGAGGGGAAAAAATCCCAAGAGAATCCCTCAACTTCTGTCCTGTAGGAGTCCTCCTTCTTGCTCCACATACCAGACGAGAAGGCTTCTTTGCATCTGTTATACAGTTCCAGGTTTCAGGCTGCCATATCAGAAGTAAAATGAACAGAGCACTCACCACCAGCTCGATGGTACTATGAGTTGCCTAATCCACAAGCTACAGTCCTTAAATAGCTACTCCATGCATTTGGTCCAGGGTTTTTCATTATATTCAGGAGAGACAGGGTGGGGAGTGCTTACTCCATCTCACCAGAGACTGGAGCCACACCAGGGGCTCCTAACTCTAAGTACAGCCAGGGTGGAGAACCACTGCATATATATATGTGGATATTCTACATCAGGGGTTGGCAAATTTTCTCTGTAAAGGGCCAGATAAATATTTTAGGCTCTGTGGCTATATGGTCTCTGTCACTACTATTTAACCTACTCAACTCTGCTGCTATACTGCAAAAGCAGACATAGACAATATGGAATTGGCGTGGCTATCTTGCAATAAAAGTTTATTTTAAAAAACAGGTCATTGGCTGGATTTGGCCCACAAACCATGGTTTGCTGACCTCAGTTCTACCTCACAAAAAAGGTGGCTAAAAGCAAAATTCACTTTTGAAATTTTTGCATTCCTTAGATAGCAGAATTCTTCAAATAACTACAAAAGTGATTGCTTTCCTTTTCTGTTCCTAGACCCATTATGCACAAGAACTGTGCTGCACATTCAGCTTTGGTTTAATTATGTTCTTTGATGCTTGAAACAGTCACTAGTCTAGAGCTAAAATAAAGTTATAAAAACTAAAATTCAAGGAGATTTGACCAACATCTTTTACATATAACTGAAAATGCTGTAGTTATCATTTCAAATAGAAATCCTTAGTCACAATTTTCTGGAGGAAAATTAGCAGAGGTCATAAATAATAGTGTTCCAACTTGTTTTTCCAGAGAATGACTAACTGGAGGTGTGGAGAGGCTGATGTCCTTTCACTCACCTGGTTTCCTGCCACAGAGATAAAAGGCTAGTCTGTCAGTCAGCTCATACTGTATTTCTACAAGGCGTTCTGCCAGCTCATGGTGACCTCCTTGCCTACCAAAAGAAAACAAAGTACCATTTATATTGCTCACCAGTCACTGGCTCTATAATAAAAAAGTACAGAAACATCTGAGACACCTGAGCAATTTATCAAACATGACTTTTTAGAATAATCAACCTTTTTGTCTGAGGTAAGTTGTCAAGGTCTACTTTGATTCCCACATTTATAAACTGTTCTCACAATCTGAACTACTCTTTCTCCTTTATTAAATTTACAAGACAGAATACTTAATAAGGAATTCAAGGACTTGTAAGATAAAGAATAACTTCATCCAATGAAGTAGAAAATAAAATTAATAAATGGTCTAGGGTAAAGATTCTCAAAAATTAACTAGAGTGCTTTAAAAAATATACAGATATCTAGGCCCTCCCCTTGGAAATTCTGAATCAGTAAAGATGGGATTAGTGTGGACATCAATAGTTTAAAGAAGGCCTTTCCCCTAGGTGCTTCTGATGGAGCCAGTCTGACTGTGGATGAGAGCTTAGTATTCATGTGAAGTCTTAAATTCAGAGAGAGACAGACCAACCTAATCTACACCTGTATAGCTACTTTCACCTCCTTATTTTCAAGTTCCATAATTGAAAATACTAAGTTTGCCTTTCTTCATTCATGAAATAATATATAAGCTCCTTGAAGTCCTTTTAGTAACAAGGCATATAAATAATTACATTGAGAGGCTGTTATATGCAAGGTACCCATGAAAAATTTCAAAGTAAGTGATAATAAGTATCATTTACTGAGGGCTCTCTTCCTCTTAAAAGATGAAGTCTAGTTTCTGTCAGTTTCTCTTCCTACCATTCAAGGCATTACAAAATATTCTCCCTATCACACATCTTTTCTTCATTTTTTTTTAACATCTGTGAAATCAGGAAGTATCCTACAATTGATGGTACCTCATCATTTAATAGGCAGAGTTGTTTAGTGGTATATGAAATAATGACGACCCATAAAAACAGTGGAGTCTTAGACCTGATAAAATACTGTACTCCTCAATCCTTAGCTCTTATATTCCCAGACACACTGCACTATGCAGTCAGGTCCCTGCTATGGCAGCCATGCCCTGCGCATCCCTCCCTCCAAAACGTGACTCACATCTTTCTTCTCATCTGGAATGCCTGAGCTTTTCCTTCATACACCCAAATCTAACCTATTCTTCAAAGACCAACTAAAAGAATTTTCTTAATGATTTGGGCCACAATGAAGAGTCCTATGTACACCTTTTAAGACCAGTTATCCATTTTGGCAATGAGTTCCACAGTATTTCGCCCCATTTAACTCTGGTTTGCAGTTATGAGTCACCTCCTCCATGGAACAGTAAGTCCTGGGATGGCAGAGTTGTGTCATTTCACCCACTTTACCCTCTGTCAAGCAGAGTATAAGTGCTCTGCAGCTAATAAAGCTAATGCGGAAAAAGAAGGAAAGATGATCCATTCTCTGTCATTTAAATGATATTTAAGATTAGCCTATGGATTTACTTATTCATTTTTCCAATATTTCACAAATTTTTTAAATAAAGAAAAATTTAAAGAATTTTATAGGGAGCACATAGATGTCTACTACCTAAAACCAACAACTGACATGTTACTATAATTGTTTAATCACATATCTACCTGCTCATATACATTTGTTTTAAGTTTAAGCAATGGCTAAAAATATTTAAATATAGCGGAGTGGGTTCTGCCATTATTAGTACTTGATTTGGACTCTAACTATGGCTTAAATACCATAGCATTATAAAGGAACATACAAAAGGCTGGAAGCTAAGCAGACTGGTTATGGTTCTACTTTCTCTGACTTTGCCAGGCCCTGAGCTCACATTCATTTGAAAAGTCATCTGAAAAATAACTGAATGTAAATCTTTAAAGGTGTTAAGTATTAACCATACACAATTTAGCAACTTAACAATGAATCATACATAACACAAAGAAGCCCAAACAGAGAGAAGTGACAAGAATCTAGGTCTCTAACCTTGCATAATCAACAGGAGTTTTCCCACTGGAATCTTGTGTGCCTGGGTCTGCTCCGTATACTGCCAATAATTCCGCCTGTAAAATCTGTCCTGCTTTGGAGGCAACATGAAGTGGGGTGTTTCCTTTTTCCTAAGAATCATTAATAAAAAGTAGACACACACACACACAAAAAGCAAATTTAATAAAGAAAAGGCTACCCGACCACAACCCACTTAGTTTCAATTTACTATGTGGATCAATTCATGCTTTCTTACAGGGTGAAAGAAGTTGGCTTGTGCTCCTAAAGATAACAGCCTCAAACAGGTTTCAAGATTCCCTGTTCTCACGCTTGAATGGAGTTGCTGAAAAACACACAAACAAAAAGGAATACTGTTGAAAGTGTAAAGAGTGATACACTAGAGCAGCTGGCAGATCATTTCCATATATGTTATATTAATCATACTTAGCTCAGTAAGGCAGATGATGCAGTCTCTCCCTTGCTGGTCATGAACAGCCCTAGGAGCTAAGGAGGAGTCAGGCCCATTTTACTGATAAGGAAACTAGGGCTGAGAAGGCTGACCTGCCCAAATGCAAGACCTGTCTAAGTGGCACAATTATACCTTGAGTGAGAGGTAGTATGAAGAGGTGGCTGAGCATGGCACTGAAGTCTGACAGACCAAAATTTCAAACTATACACCCTTCAAGCTGTATAACTTTGAGGAGGTTCATTAAGCCATCTGAACCTCAGTTTCCTCATCTCTAAAATGGTGATAATAATGCCACCTATTCACAGGATTACTGTAAGGAGTCAATGATATAGTAAAGTGCTTAGCACAGAACCTGGTACATAGGAAATACGTAAAGAATACAGCTGTTATTATTACTATTGTTATTATTATTATTTAGGGGGAGAGGAAGAGAGAGGGAGAGAAAGAAAGAGAAACATTGCCTTCCGCATGCACCCCAACCGGGGATTGAGCCAGCAACCTGGGCATGTGCCCTGACTGGGAATGGAACTGGTGACCTTTCAGTGCATGGGACGACACTCAACCAACTGAGCCACACTGGCCAGGGCAGCTGTTATTATAATAATAATTATTGTCTGTTGTTATTTGACCTAGGGCTTTAGGGCTTCATATCCTACACTGTGCATATTGCAGGGTCCTGCCTTCTATTGGACCCTCTCCACAACACTATTCTTGGCCTTGCATAGGATGCTCTAATGATGTCTTTCAGGGTGGGAAATGGGCCTCAGGTATACCAAATTCGGTACTACAGAAGAAAAGTGCTTATACATTCAGAAGATGAGCTGCCTTCAATTCTGACCCTGAATTGTCGAAATGCAAAAACCCTTATCATCGGTATCTAAGCCTTATTTTTTTTTTTTTTTTTTTTTTTAAAACTGTGGTAAGAAACACATAGCAAGTCTTATTAATAAAAGGAAGTATCAAGAAATGGAAGTAACAAGAAACAATCATTTCTATGCAAAGTTTAAAATTCTGAACTGTGAGTGCCCGTGCTACGTGTGAGCATTTGCCAAAAGCAGTGCTTTGAAAATAGAGATGCAGGTTTCTTGTAGCATCTCTCACAAACAAGCAAAGGCCCACATAAAGAAAACCATCTACTCATTTTACAAGTATAATACATGTACTACAGCTTTGAGTCACACCCTGCATCCTGAAGATCCTACTCAGTATGCAACCTAGGGACCTGAAGAAATCCCACAAACTTTCTAGTCCCTTCCAGAAATTGAGAAGGTTCCTACTTCAAAATTAAAAAAACAAAAAACTTATAGAAATATAATTTTCAAGCCATATTTGAAAAACACAAATAGTTTCTAGATACTTATTTTTCCTCTCTGCCCTTACTTCTTACTAACATGAATGGCTGCCATTTGAGTTAAGAATAAAGATGAAACCAAATGCAATGAAAAGCTGTTATTAGTTATCTAGTGACTAGAAAGCAGTTTTATTTTGCTTTGCTTTGCTTCCTTTTAAGGTTTTTTTCCCCTAAATAAAACAATACACTGTTTCATCTAGCAATTTTAGAGAATTTAAACATGTGACCCACCTTGCTAAGATCTTTGGCGGTCACACTATCGTCATCCCGGCAGGGCAAACGATGGACAAATGCTAACATCTGATACTTGGCTCTGATGAATTCCGCTTTATTAGGACTGGTTGGAAAACAAAAAAGAAAACAGTTCACTTGCAGTTCAGATACGACATTCCCCATTCTTTAGGCTGTGAAAAGAAGAGGAAGTGACCCACATCCCCTACTCAAGAATAAAATGAACAATACTGAAATAAGTTTTCAGCAGTGGGTAAGACTTGAAGTCTAAAAACATATATTAGTAATTGTAATGCTAAGGACTGCAGAATACCTACTTTTTATAGCATCTCTTTTCTCTGTGTAATTTTTTTTTAAAATATATCTTTATTGATTTCAGAGAGAGGAAAGGAGAGGGAGAGAGAGATAGAAACATCAATGATGACAGAGTCACTGATCCTCTGCCTCCTGCACGCCACCAACTGGGGATTGAGCCCGCAACCTGGGCACGTGCCCTGACCGGGAATCGAACCCCGATTGCCTGGATCCTAAGTCGACACTCAACCGCTGAGCCACGCCCGGCCGGGCATGTGTAATTTTCTTAACTGACCTAGCAACCTTGTAGGGAAGCAGCATTTCATCCCATCTTATAGGTGAGGCATCAGGCATACTAGAGCCCAGAACCTAGATTTCTGGTCTGACAGCCTCTTGTTTGAGCACCTACACTTAAATCTGATTACACCAACAGCCTTAGTCTCAAAACTGGAGAAACCACTGACTTGTGCTGGGTAACCATGCAAAGAGATGGTTCCATGCCTGGCCTTGTTCTGCATTCTTTTTCCTTTTTTATTGATTTTGAGAAAGAGAGGAGAAGGAAGGCAGGAGGGGCGGGGAGAGAAAGAGGGAGGGAGAAGGAGGGAGAGAGAAACATCGATTTGTTGTTCCACTTATTCATGCATTCACTGGTTGATTCTTGCATATGCCCTGACTGGGGATCGAACCCACAACCTTGGTGTATCGGGACGACACTAACCAACTGAGCTACCCACCCGGCCAGGACCCCTTGTTCTGCATTTCTAATAGCAAAGAGCTCAATGAACAATTGGGGTAACTACCTCCTATGCTGCCCTTGTGAAGGCTGGTCAAAAATAGCTACACTCCTTTCAGAGGGCCCATGTGTTACAAAGAAATAAAAGTATTTATAAACATTCCACTCACTGTACTTTATCCTGTGGATTAGCTTTACGTCTTCCACTCATAATAGATGCAGGGTCCAGCAGAGAATGCTCCCATATAGAATTAGCACCATTATTATATAAGGTTTCAACCATCTAAAACAAAGCAGTATAAAATCATATTTTAATTTCTTTCCACAAATATTCAGTGGGAATCAGTAACTGAGCAGGGAAAACAAAGCCCCATTACAAAAACTACCACAACTGGCATATCACACACATCACTATTTTCTGATTTTAGAACATGAACGATGAACCTGTACATAGAATTCAGGTTTGACCAGTAAGATAGCTAAGTATCTAAATGATTAGATTGTTCTAACAGATGATGAAGCAAGAGTACTTTGACACTTTAGGGCAGTGTTTCTCAAGAGTGATTATCCAAATACTATTTGCAAGATTCTTAACAACCATGTACTGTCTAGACTAAACCACTTAGTATTTTTCTTTAAATCCACTCATTTTTTAAAATTTTACTAGCCATTATGGTTTTATATACTAATTATAGTTTTCTTATACACATTAAAATAATGCAACCACCAAAATACATATTGGAGTATTATCTACATCTGTCTTGAGTACCACTGGTGGTTCATGTGCCATACTTTGGGAATTGTTTTAGGGTCCACCCTGGCATTTTAAACTACTCATCTTTAGACTTTATTCAGATCCTCTAATAAAATCTGTAAACACAGACCTCAGAGTAGTAAATACCCACTTGCACATGAGAACGAGCTGTTAGAAACTTGTGAGTAAAAGTTATTAATAAACCGTATTTCCCAATTTCATTTCAAAGAATGACTATTAACATGGCCCCACCTGTTTTTTACATTAGTGGAGATACTGTCACATTAGAGACCCAAACCCACTTGTTCTGGTCCCTTGGTTTATACAGGCATGTTTAAGGGACATGTTGTGCAGCTGCCATAGATTTTGTAAAATATGTACTCAAGACAAATGAAGGGGAAACACATGCTTAATTCTTAGTTCCAACAGAACTTAAAGAATGTGTACCCCAAAATAGAAATACAGGTGACATGACATTGAACCACAAATAAAACAACACACACTTAGCAGATTGTTAGGCAGTCAATCAAAACATATTAACTAAATTTGTTCTCCAACTAGTAACAAGACCTTTAAATCAGATGTTTCAGAAATTTCTGAGGAATCCCAGTCCGTGCTTCTATCAAAGCAGGAAAAGATAATCCTAAAAATATTAGCAGGTACTCAGGGATAAGTACATTAATGAAAAATTTCTAAGGCAGTGGCTTTCAGAAATATTCACTATGGTATGTGGAAAAGACAGACTGTTCAAAAACAATTTCTGGAGACATTCTAGAAAGTCAGCAGTGAAACAATACCAAGAAATTTTAGTGACTATTATCTATCTGTTTATGATGAATTTAAGATGGGCACAGCACCCTATTCAGTTATGATTCAATCATTTTTGTATTATTTAAGGAGTAAGAGAAATTTTAGTTGCTAAAACAATGAGCCCTAAAAACTTAAATTACAAATTCTTCCTTTACCTGAAGCAATGTTGGAGGCCACGGTGTGTGTTTAAGATGCCTTACTTGAGAGATATGGCGCCCTAGACTCCGATGGACACTGCAGCATTCGTCACATATAAAAGTTCCCCTATTTATTGATGCCCAAGAAGGATCTGAAAAGAAAAATGAATTTTCAGCAGCAAGAATACCAGTTGGGCACTTTACTACCAGATGGCAAAAGATGACTAAGGTATGGCTTTTCAGAAACACAAGACATTTTTGTTGTTTTAATATGCTAATCAACATCCAAGCTGGTGAGCTTGTCTGATGATACCACCTATTTTGGCTGATTGGGTACAATGTTAATTGAGACTAAAGACATGAGTTGAAGTTCTATATAAGCAATTATCTCCTTTCTGGTTCAGGGCCACAGTCTGAAGCCCTAATGGGATCTACCATCTCAGATACATGACTCTTTCATTCAAATGAGAAGCAAATCCAGAGTATACAGATGAATCATTTTAGACTCATCTCCTCAAACAGCAAAATAATATAATTGTAACAGTGAATAGTCCACATAGCATTTTATCTGAAGAAAATGGTTTAAAAAGTGCTACAAATCTATATGCCAATCTACTTGGCAGAAAGCTGCAAGTGCCAAAACTATAAAACTGTTCAGCTGTTGTGGTTCTGAGGACAAACTGGGAAATCTGGCCTCCTCTACTTAGGGAGATGTTCTAGGATATCCATTAGTTGTTTTAAATAAACTACTGAGTCCAATCTTGCAACTGATCTGAAAGAACAGATCTGTAATAACAACAGCTTCACAAAAGCAAAGATGTAAAATAAAAACAAGTAATATTTTTGGTGTGTGTAATACTTTTCTCCTATGAAGCCCCACAGAACTTCATTGGACATCTATTGAAACAAGGAATAATTCACATTGGGCAAGTAAACTGAATACTTAGAAACCAAAAAAAAAAGAAAAAAGACAGACCTACATTTCATCAGACTCACAAAGGAGTGACAATAGGTGCCACTCAAGCTCCCTGGTCTAAGGATTACATTTAAAAATTCTCCCATGTCCACAAAAATCTCTAAAATGCATGTACGCCATCTTTACCATTTTTAACAGTTTATTCAAATCCTTTCCAACCATATAATGAAAAGTTATGGGATTTCAATCAAAGACAAATCCTAGGAGTCAGAGAGTGTGGTGGTTAAGAGGACAGCCTCTGGAGACAAGCAGTCCAGGGTTTGAACCCCAACTCTCCCACTTCTCACACAATGATCCGAGCAAGCTTTTTTTTTTTTTTTTTTTTTAGCATCCTCGCCATGGATCAAATGGGAATAATAACACATCTCAGGATAGTTAGGATATAAAAAGTAAGTAAAGTTGCTTGCATATCGTAAATACTCAGCAATGTTAACTGTTATAACTTCTCTAAATTATTTTCTAAGTACCATTCAGGTATTTTTAAGAGTCCCCTGAAACTTATGACCACTGGAAAAAGTTTTTGATAGTTAATACTTAAAACGTAGAATGTTTCATGTGAACACTGTATTACTATAGTAAAAGTCTCAGTTGAACTCAGAGTAGAATATACTTTAAATGAACTAGATTCATTAAAAAAAAAAAAAAGTAAAATATTCACTAAGATGTGATCATGGTTAAATGTTTGCCATGAAACAGAACAGAAATAAAATAATTCAGTACTATTATGCCATTCTAAAAGGCAAAGACTGGAAACATCAAGATGAAGGATCCCTACAAAGATGCATAACATTGCTTTCTGCAGTATGGTACCACTACTAGTGACAAAAAAAGAGACTGCTCTGAATCACAGCTTTTGTTTTCACTTATCTATTCAGTAGATTCACAATGTTCTTGATGGAAATTAAACAGGAACAAGACAACAAGGATTTAACACACATTAAGCAAAGTTCTCAATTAATCACTTTAACATCATAGATCAGAATCCCACGGAAAGAATATCAGAATGTTAACAATACAGTAGAATCCGAGTTTTACTAATGACGCTAGGTGAACCCCTTTCAGTTTATCTGAAGCTTAATGCCAGAGCTACTTAACTTGGGCTCCAGGAACACAACAAATGGGCTTCAGAAATGTCTGTGACCCCACTAAGAAACCTTAACATAAATTCTGTATGAAAGATTAAATATGCATGCATTTTGGGAGGAGAAAGCCTTAACATTCATCAAAATCTGAAAGGGATCCCTAATCATAAGGTAACTCTTTCACTAGGGTTTTGCAAAAAAAAAAAAAAAAGTGGCACGAATTCCTGGCTGCTCAAGTTCGCAGAACATTTCAAGGTAGCCTAATTATGTTCAAAACAGGAAGGAAGTGACTCAAGTCTCTGTAGATTAGGCATATGAGACAACTAAAATGACACAACAGGAGAGAAAATGTTCTGAAATGCACAAAATGCTGCAGAAGTGCAAGGTAGTATTGAGGGTGGCAATGGAGCCAGTTTTCCTTGGCCCCATATCATCCACTGAGAACTACAGAATACGCATTCCAAGGGGAAGTCTGAATCTAGACTCATGTGAATCAAACACATCGGACAGTTCAACTGAAAACGGGCAAGAAAATAAGGAAGTGGAGCAAATAACATTTTTAGAGAACACAATGGAGTTTGCATAATCCGCACTAACTTGGTTTATAGAACACCTCTTTTTAAACTCCTCCACACTCCTCTCCCTGTCGTCAAAAAAAAAATCGGTAACATCGCTGGCACTACACAAGCTTTGAAATAACCACATAAGGTTTGAGTTATCCCAGTACTATTTAAAATCGATCTCCACTTCCATATGACAACGTGAAGTTCAGAAACAGTTGCAAAAACACTGCTGCTCAATGATTTCATTAAGATTGTTTATTGGACACTATTGTGCCAAGGAAGCCATCTTACCTTTGAATTACTTCCAATTCAAAGCAGATAAATCCAAGCACGGAAAACAACAGAGACCAGTCAAATTCAGTGCCAATTCCCAAGGTGGATCTGAACTCTAAATCTGAAAATTATGCATGGGAGGAATGGTTTTGGCTTTTCAATGCCCTCAAATGCCTACACTGCGTGAATGCCCCGTGACTCTATTTGTTTTGTAAACTGGTTAATGTACGATTTAGAAATTCAACTCTAGCCTTAAGGGGCTGCAAAGGTTCTGTACTAAAGAACACAACACAAAGAGGGAAAAACACACCTAAATGAGATGACCGTGGGGATATTCACTGAATCTTCCTAACCACTGACTGTGATACTCCTCATTTATCCCCATCGGAGAAATGAGGAAATCAAGGCTCTGCCAAACGAAATCACCAGCCCAAGGTCACCCAGAAGCAAAATCTAGTTTGAACTCAGGCCGTTCAGATGCCAAAACTTGAGACATGCATTGACTCCTAAGTGCCGGTCGCGTTTGCGACATCCCCGACATCCCGGAGATTCTCCCCAGTGGAGTGGGAGCCCGAATGTCAGCGTGGGGAAATCACCTAGGGGTCCGCCGGCCAGTCTCGGTGGAGGGAGGCGGCGAAGGTCGCCCACTCCGGCCAGGGTGCCCTGGCGGAACGGAGGGGCGCTGGGTGGCAGGGGGCGCAGGGGGAAGAGGAGGTGACACCTGCAGCCTCTGGGGGCCGCAGCTCGGAGGACGTTCGCGTTTTTACTTCTGTAATTGGTTTTCCTGTGGATTGCCCAAGCCCCTTCCTGTTGAAGAAGCTGCCCCGGCCTCGAGCCCGCCCCTCTCCGCAAGGCCTGGGACAGGAGGGACGAGAGGGACGAGAGGGACGAAAGGGACGGGAGGGCGGCGGCCCCCTGCCCGCCCGGCTCTGACAGGCCCGGGACGGCTCCCGCCCCAAGGCTACCCCAGTCCCTCCTACTCGCGACCCCGGGCATGGGATGCGGGGCTCCACCGCCCCGAGCCGCCTGACCCGTGGGGGCGGCCCCGGGGCAAGGGTCCCAGTCAGGAGAGCTGAGGGGAGCGGGCCCCGCCGGTGGGACTCACCCGGCCCGCTGCAGTCCGCGCACACTTCGCTGCTCCGGAGCCGCTTCGACATGGCTCCCGCCTCCTACCTGCCAGGAACCAGAAGCCCCGGGACAGCGAAGGCGACGGCGACGGCGACAGCAGCGCTTCCGCTCTAACGGGTCCCCACCGCGGCGCTGGCGGCAGCGCTTCTCCCCTCAGCGCCTCGCAGCCGCGGCGCAGCACGCACGCGTGGGGAGGTGCCCTTCGGCGTCGGGCAGTCATGTGACAGGAAAGGGCACGCTGCCCTGTCGCCATCTTGAGTGAGGGCAGATATGTACTCCAGCGCCTTATGTCCTGCTTATAAATCTCCAATTTGGGTCTCCCTCCCTGGGAGACAGTCGCTTAGTCCCAGCACTGACTAATACCATTGAAAGCAGCAAAAATCTGTTGACCAGAACTCTGTGGCCACAACCTTACTGAGGCAATCAATAGTCAAGTCACCAGTAGAACTTTGGCCAAGTTCACTTATTGATTACATTATTCAACAAATATTTATTGGGCACCTACTATGTGCCACACACTGTTCCAGACACTGAAGAAACAGCAGTGAGCAAAGAAGACAAAATATCTGTCCTTGTGGAGCTTACGTTCTACTGCAGTAGACTTAAAATAAGTAAAATGGAGATAATGTGTTATCTACCTTTAAACTTCTATTTGCTTTTTTTTTTTAATCCTCACCCAAGGATACTTTTTCCATTGCTCTCCAGAGAGGGTGGAAGGGAAAGGGGAAAGAGAGAGACAGAGAGAAAGAGACATTGATTGGTTGCCTCCTGCACATGCTCCAACCAGGGCCAGGGATGGAGCCTGCAACCAACCAATGTGCCCTTGGCTGGAATCGAACCCAGGACCCTTCAGTCCGAGGGCCAACACTCTAACCACTGAGCCAAACTGGCTAGGGTTCAATAAAAATTCTTAAAAAAAAAGAAGTTTTAAGACCTCAAGCTGAAGCTCGTTAAAGTAAAATTCTAGTCCTCATGCTTCAGCCCATTCATTTGGTTTGAACCATTTTTGTCAGCGTGACTACACAGGCTCCGTTTTAAGTGAGCTTAGCTTTACTGACGTGATCTCGTTTTCTTCACTCATTCCTCAGCGATGAGCTCCATTCAGCAAATATTGGATGCCTCTATGGGCCAGGTACTGTTGTGACTTTAGGTACTCTGGTAAGCAGCCACTGTGGAGTTTTCCAACTAATGAATAAGAGAGATGTTCAATAAACATGGATGGAGAGGAGAAAAGATGAAGTTGCACAAACCTTCTGAAAGGATGGGAAGTCCTGGAAGAGGTCTCAGAAGCTCTGGTCATTTGGTCCATCTCTCCATTTTGATAAATGTGTGGTGTGGGTATAACCACATAATTCCCACACATTCCACAATTAGAGCCCCTGGGTACCATCCTGATGCTCCTACATCCTGTTTTGGATGGCAGACTCACAAATCTTCCGGACCCAACACGTGTAGAGAATGGATTAGGCCGAGATTCTCGAACAGCTGTTGTTGCAGGCATCTGAAAAGCTGGCTGTGCACAAGCAGGGAAGGCACAGGGTAAGCTTTCTGGATGCAGCAAATAACTTCACCCAGCTATGTGGTCTAGTTGCAGACAGCTGTGCAGAAAGCTCAGGGTGGTGAGTAGCTGTAAATTGATTTGGATCTTTATGGAATCAAGGAGCTATAATGTCTTCGGTTGAAACTCACAGAATGAGCTTTATATACTTGCAGACTGTGGTCAAGTCTGGGTATGATCTGTTAGCTCTTTCAGCCATAACCCAAAATTCAAATGGCTAGCTTCAAAAATAAATGACACTCACATGTGGAATAAACCACCACCATAGGTAACTGAAACATAACCTAGTTTGGAGTTCAGGTAGAATAGTGGTTTTCAACTGGGGGGGATTTTCCTCCTCCAGGGCACAACTGCCAACGTCTGGAGATTTTTTTTGGAGAAGTGCTGCTGGCATCCAGTGGGTAGAAAGGCCAGGGATGCTGCTCAATATCCTAAAAATCACGAGACAAGCCCCACAGAAAGAATTATCTGGTTCAAAACCTGCCTTTCCTTGAGCATCCAGGAGATAGAACTATCTCCATGTGGTGCAACCACTGACTGACGCCTCTCCAGGGTTTGCAGCTCCCCCGTCGAAGCTGTCGGGTGCTGCCCGCTTCCAAAATGGCTTCTGACCGATCATGGAAGCATCTGCCCGGGTCCAAAAAGGCTGCAAGGGAGTCAGTCTCTGGAATGGTTTGGCCCAGGCGCTGTTGTCACCCCCTGACCGCAGAGTCGTTGGAAGTAGCCCAGTTGTGGGCCGAACCATGTGCGGTTGCTGGGGCAGGGGGAGTGGGCTGGTGTCGGGGAGACTGAGTTGCCCACGCCCAGATCCTGGACTGAGGGAGAGAATTGTACACGTTTTTGGGGAGTACACGGCGTCTCCCGGTGTGGTCTCTTATACACATCTA